TTCCTCATTCTCTGAGCACAAATCTTTATTCTTGCAAAACCCCTTCCCCAGTAATAACCTACCCCCTCCTTCCAAATTTCAGCCCCCCCCTCCTTCCCCCCTGCAAAAATGTTCTCTTTTCCTCCCCTCCCAGGGACAAATATATCCTCTACAAGCACTATTTTACCTTTTGAAAACTCCTCCATCTCACTACTGCAAATTAACCCCCAGCACTAGTCTTTTCCCTCACCCCCCCCCCCCCGAGGAAACTCTACCTCCTTAACAATCCCACCCAAAGCACAATGCCCAGCACTAACCTTACTTCAGCTCCCTCTCCCCCTGAAATAAGCACGAGTCTTACTCATGCACAAATTTTCCATGCCCCCCACCCCACAAAAAAACAACTTCTACACTCTTGTGTGTCATGTGTTGGAGCAGAGGGAGAACCTAGGGGCCTTCTTCCTCTCTGAGCCATGCTGTACCTGAGGTCTGTATATTATGGGTGGCCGAATTTGCATACTGTTTCAGTGCAGGTGTCACTAACCCAGGGCAGCAAGGAGGAGTCCTGGAGCATTTGCCCCCCCCCCAGCGCCTGACATTAGTGTGTTCAGTAGTTTTGAAGTCAGGGCTCTGTGCAGGTCACTGGACTTCCTCCACTCCAAACTCATCAAACCATATCTTTATGGAGCTGGTTTTGTGTACAGGGGCACAGTCCTTTTGGAACAGAAAAGGACCTTCCCCAAATTGTTACTAAAAGGTTGGAAGAGCACATAAGTCTTTTATGGTATAGCATTAACAGTGCCTTTACCGAAAACACCAGAACCCAATAATTTGGACAGGAGTCCATTTACTTTTGGCTATAAATGTAGGTAGGATGGCCAAGTGTCCACAGTCCTTTGACCATATAGGGCCCTCTAAACTTTTCAGTATGAAAGTCATAAAATATATTTTGCAAATATTGGTGGGCCAAAAAAAACAGTTTAATAAATGAACAAATCAAATTCAAATGAATAAACAGGTTTTACTTGGAGTTTATTTTTTGTATCAGCATGATACCACTTAGAACAACAGAAAAAGCTTCAGTAAAACAAAGCAAATAAATTCCTAATAAACTTGAGCCTATCAGAGTCCCCCGTTATATCAGAATACCCATCAAAGTCCCCCTTGCATCGTAGTCCCCCTTACATTAGTCCTCACCTTAGTGTTCCCATATGAGTCCCTATCAAAGTCCCCCTTGCTTTGAAGTCCCCCTTACATCTGAATCCCACTTACATCAGAGACCCTATCAAAGTCCCCCTTGCATTGGATACCCTCCTACATCAGAGACCCTATCAAAGTCCTCCTTGAATTGGATACCCCCCTACATCAGATTCCTTGGATACCCTCTTACATCAGAGACCCTATCAAAGTCCCCCCTGCATTGGATACCCCCCTACATCAGAAACCCTATCAAAGTCAACCTAGCATGGGATACATCCCTACATCAGAGACCCTATCAATGTCGCCCTAGCATGGGATACCTCCTTACATCAGAGACCCTATCAAAGTCCCCCTTGAATTGGATGCCCCCTACATCAGAGACCTATCAAAGTCCCCCTTGCTTTGGAGTCCCCCTTACATCAGATTCCCCCCTCCATCAGAGACCCCATCAAAGTCCCCCTTGCAATGGATACCTCCCTACATCAGAGACCCTATCAATGTCGCCCTAGCATGGGATACCTCCCTACATCAGAGACCCTATCAAAGTCCCCCTTGAATTGGATACCCCCCTACATCAGAGACCCTATCAAGGCCCCCCTTGCTTTGGAGTCCCCCTTACATCAGATTCCCCCCTCCATCAGAGACCCCATCAAAGTCCCCCTTGCATTGGATACCTCCCTACATCAGAGACCCTATCAAAGTCACCCTTGTTTTGGATACCTCCCTACATCAGAGACCCTATCAAAGTCGCCTAGCATTGGATACCTCCCTACATCAGAGACCCTATCAAAGTCCCCTTTCATTGGATACCCCCCTACATCAAAGACCCTATCAAAGTCCCTTTTTGGCATCAGAGACCCATCAGAGGACAGAGGGCCATATAAAATCTTGCAGCGGGCCAGACTATAGTTTGAAGACCCATGTTATAGTGCAGTGATGGCGAACCTATGGCATGCGTGCCAGAGCTGGCACGCAGAGCCATCTCAGTGGGCACGCCAGGAAGAAGAGGAAGATGAGCACACATGGACCAGCCATCCAGATCTCGTCCACACTGGACCCCCATCAAACTACATTTCCCACATGTCTCTGGTGCCAGGGTGGGTGTGGACGAGAGGAAACGGCTCCTATGCGGATCTAAAACCAGGGGTGATGTAGCCGGGGATGGGCGTGGAAGAGAGGAAGAGGCTCCCACACTGCTCCGGGGCCAGGGGCAATGTGTTCAGCGTGGATGGGAATCAGCTGCTGGGTTGGAAGTCACACCGACACTGCCAGAGGTGAGATTAACTGCTTGCAGTGTCATCCATCAGTGCCCAGAAGTGTCACCCATCAGTGCCCAGCAGTGTCGCCTGTCAGTGCTGCCCAGCAGTGCCACCTGTCAGTGCTGCCCAGCAGTGCCACCTGTCAGTGCTGCCCAGCAGTGTCACCCAGCAGTGCTGCCCATCAGTGCCACCCATCAATGATGCCCAGCAGTGCCCAGCAGTGTGTGCCCAGAAGTGTCACCCATCAGTGCCCAGCAGTGTCGCCTGTCAGTCAGTGCTGCCCAGCAGTGCCACCTGTCAGTGCCCAGCAGTGTCGCCCATCAGTGCTGCCCATCAGTGCCACCCATCAATGATGCCCAGCAGTGTCATCCATCAGTGCCCAGAAGTGTCACCCATCAGTGCCCAGCAGTGTCGCCTGTCAGTGCTGCCCAGCAGTGCCACCTGTCAGTGCCCAGCAGTGTCGCCCATCAGTGCTGCCCATCAGTGCCACCCATCAATGATGCCCAGCAGTGCCGCCGATCAGTGCCGTCTGTCAGTGCCTTCAGTTGGTGCTATCAGTCAGTGTCGCTTATCAGTGCCCATCATTGCTGCATATCAGTGCATCATCAGTGCCTCCTCATCAATGCCCACCAGTGCCACCTCAACAGTGCTACCTATCTGTGCCGCCTCATCAATGCCCATCAGTGCTGCCTATTAGTGCAGCCTTACCTGTTTGCAAACTTTTATAATAGAAGCAAAGAAAACCTTTTATGTTTTTAATTTTTTGCTCTTTTTTCATTTATAGTGCAAAAAATAAAACACCCGGTGGTGATTAAATACCACCAAAAAAAGCTCTATTTGTGTGAAAAAATTAGTGTTGCATGACCGCACAATTGTCATTGTCAAGTGTAACAGCACTGAAAGCTGAAAATTGATCTGGGCAGGAAGGGGGTAGACGTGCCCGGTAGGCAAGTGGTTAATTGCAGTGTTGGCACTTTGAAATAAAAAAGTTGGTTTGTGCTGCAGTTTTGGGCACTCGGGCTCAAAAAGGTTCGCCATCACTGTTATAGTGCATACGGAAATGTTATAACCTTCATCAAACTGATAGAATAATCAGATACATTGTAAGGGACAGGCCCTCTTTAAGCAACTCCTGGAATTTGGGAGGTTATAGAAATGTTTGTAAACTGCTAAGAAAGAAACACACAGACTGCGGAGCTGACACTCAATAAGCAAAGACAATAGTCAATTAAACTGTAATTCAGTCCAACGTGGAAATCCAACACGTCTTTAGATGTCCATGTAGAAGAAATATAATATGCTACCTGAAAGAACTATAGAGCACAGAGCGGCATTTATACTTACAGTTTAACTATTTCATCAGCACTGAAATCCACAGCATAGACTGAGTACAGTCAGTGCAGGTCATGGTGACCACTTCAATATCATCTACGGTCTATTTATCTACCCATAATCCCCTCTAGTACCTATTGTTGGCAGTTTAAGTGAACCCCCGAGATCTTCCCCATACTGTGCTGTGCTATGCCTCCCTCCAGAGACACCATGGTCCATCGTGTTCCATCATTAGCTGTTCTCCCAGGTGATGTCTTATTCCTTGCGGGATACTTAGAAGGTTTTACAGTTTTGTTTGATCTATGCAAAGTCAGACATCAAATAAATTGTGCTGCTAAAGAGAAAATTCACATTGTACTGTGCAATTGCTTTCCTTTTTGTTTTGATTTTCTTCCTACAATAAACCTGTGGATGACTTCCAATGACATTCCTTTATTTGCTCACGTTTGATCTTTTAATTATATCATTAACCACTTGTCTACCTAGGCACCTTTTTAAACATTTTTACACAAATGTTAAAATCTGTATTTTTTATATTTCTTTAAACCCTCAAACAAGTATATAGTTTCTGAGAGCAGAGACCTTGGAGAATAAAATGGTGGTTGTATTATATTATACTAACTTTTGGGTGGTAAAATAAGAAAGATGGGGTTGTGTTAAGTACCGTATTTTTCGCTCCATAAGACGCACTTTTTTCCCCCAAAAAACGGGGGGAAAATGTCAGTGCGTCTTATGGAGCGAATATAAAGCGGCCGGTCCGATATTTCTGCCGTCACCATGTCAGAATACCGGGCCGGTCGCTCAGCTGTTGTCTCCTGCAGGACCTTACCTGTTCCTCGCTCCAGCGCTGCACAGTCTTCCCGCGCTGGCTTCTGTGACAGCCGGGTGCCCACTGCGCATGTGCTGCGCTTTGTGAATGATCCGGTGTCTTCTGGGACACATAACAGGTCCCAGAAGGCGCCGGGCCATTCACAAAGAGCCGCGCTTCTCGCGCATGCGCAATGGGCACCCGGCTGTCACAGAAGCCGGCCCAGGAAGAAGAGGGAAGGACAACTCCGCGGAAGTGGGAGCGGGTACCTGTCAAATTCAGGTACCCGCTCCCCCTCCCTCCCCAAAGGTCAGCACTGTTAGCAGTCTCTGGTCATTCCCTGCCCTGCACTGTCATTCCCTGCACTGCAGCAGTCTCTGGTCATCCCTGCACTGTCTGCAGTCTCTGGTCATCCCCTGCACTGTCAGCAGTCTCTGGTCATCTCCTGCACCTGCACTGTCTGCACTGTGTCTCTGGTCATCCCCTGCACTGTGTCCGCAGTCTCTGGTCATCCCCTGCACTGTGTCCGCAGTCTCTGGTCATCCCCCCTGCACTGTGTCCGCAGTCTCTGGTCATCCCCTGCACTGTGTCCGCAGTCTCTGGTCATCCCCTGCACTGTGTCCGCAGTCTCTGGTCATCCCCTGCACTGTGTCCGCAGTCTCTGGTCATCCCCTGCACTGTGTCGCAGTCTCTGGTCATCTCCTGTACTATGTCCGTCCACAGTCTCTGGTCATCTCCTGCACTGTGTCCGCAGTCTCTGGTCATCTCCTGCACTGTGTCCGCAGTCTCTGGTCATCTCCTGCATTGTGTCCGCAGTCCATTGGTTCAGAATATTTTTTTTCTTGTTTTTCACCTCTAAAACCTAGGTGCGTCTTATGGAGCGAAAAATACGGTAAATAAATATCAAATGTGCTTTAAAATAAGTCTTAAAATTGGGTGCACCCATGTAATCCCAAAAAAAAAACTAAGGTACCCAAAATTCTCCATAAGCGATGCTTTAAAAACACTTTACAGCAGTGGTGGTCATCTTTCTTGATATGTGGGGCCTCAAGTGCGGTCCCAGACATGTACAAGAAATAGTTGCCCTGCCATGTGCACCATGCTGTACAAGCTAGTTATAAGTTTGGATAGTTGACATTTTTTTGTACAGTTGATTGAACTGGGTGTAGGGTCACATTGGATGCTTTCACTGCCATTGTGCTCTTGCTGGGCATCATGTGCGCCCCTGTGCCTTTAAGGAGGGGTGGTCTCCCTCCAGGCATACCTTCCCTTAATCTATCCATTCTTATACTGTATGTGCTCCTACTGTGAAGGCTCTGGAAATTTAGAGCTAGGACCTCAGTATATACAGAGGTCCTTTGTCATGGGCACTGTGGCTTATACAGTGGGGCAAAAAAGTATTTAGTCAGCCACCAATTGTGCAAGTTCTCCCACTTAAAAAGATGAGAGAGGCCTGTAATTGGCATCATAGGTAGACCTCAACTATGAGAGACAAAATGAGAAAAAAAATCCAGACAATCACATTGGCTGATTTGGAAAGAATTTATTTGCAAATTATGGTGGAAAATAAGTATTTGGTCAATATGAAAAGTTCATCTCAATACTTTGTTATATATCCTTTGTTGGCAATGACAGAGGTCAAACGTTTCCTGTAAGTCTTCACAAGGTTGGCACACACTGTTGCTGGTATGTTGGCCCATTCCTCCATGCAGATCTCCTCTAGAGCAGTGAAGTTTTGGGGCTGTCGCTGGGCAACACAGACTTTCAACTCCCTCCAAAGGTTTTCTATGGGGTTGAGATCTGGAGACTGGCTAGGCCACTCCAGGACCTTGAACATATATACATGATATTGGCAAAAGTATTAGTCCAGCCCTCCAAATCATTGGATTTAGGTGTTTTAATCCCCTTCATGGCCACAGGTGTATACAATCAAGCCCCTAGGCATGCAGACTGCTTCTACAAACATTGGTGAAAGAATGGGTCGCTCTCAGGAGCTAGTGACTCCAAGCGTGGTCCTGTGATAGGTGGCCATCTGTGCAATAAGTCCATCTGTGACATTTCCTGGCTACTAAATATTCCACGCTCAACTGTTAGTGGTATTGTAACACAGCAGAAGCAACTGGGAGCAACAGCAACTCAGCCACCAAGTGGTAGGCCACGTAAAACAGATGACTGCTAAGAGCGGGGTCAGCGCATGCTGAAGCGCACAGTACACAGAAATCGTCAACTATCTGCAGAGTCAATAGCTAAAGACCTCTAAACTTGGTGTGGCCTTCAGATTAGCACAACAACAGTGTGTAGAGAGCTTCATGGAATGGGCTTCCATGGCCAAGCAGCTGCACCCAAGCCTTACATCACCAAGTGCAATGCAAAACGTCGGATGCCGTGGTGTAAAGCACGCAGCCACTGTACTCTTGAGCAGTGGAGACGTGTTCTCTGCAGTGACCAATTATGCTTCTCTGTCTGGCAATCCGTTGGTCGTGTCTGGATTTGGCTGTTGCTAGGAGAACGGTACTGATGCCTGACTGCATTGTGCCAAGTGTAAAGTTTGGTGGAGGGGGGATTATGGTGTGGGGTTGTTTTTCAGGGGTTGGGCTTGGCCCCTTAGTTCCAGTGAAGGGAACTCTTAAGGTGTCAGCATAACAAGCCATGTTGGACAATTTCATACTCCCAACTTTGTGGGAAGAGTTTGGGGATGGCCCCTTCCTGTTCCAACATGACTGCGCACCAGTGCACAAAGCAAGGTCCATAAAGACATGGAGGAGCCAGTTTGGGGTGGAGGAACTTGACTGGCCTGCACAGAGTCCTGACCTCAACCCCATAGAACACCTTTGGGATGAATTAGAGCGGAGACTGCGAGCCAGGCCTCCTCCCCCGACATCAGTGCCTGACCTCACAAATGTGCTTCTGGAAGAATGGTCCAACCTTCCCATAGACACCCTCCTAAACTTGTGGACGGCCTTCCCAGAAGAGTTGAAGCTGTTATAGCTGCAAAGGGCGGGGCCAACTCAATATTGAACCCTACGGACTAAGACTGGGGGGCCATTACAGTTCATGTGTGTATAACGGCAGGCCGACCAATACTTTTGGCAATATAGTGTATTTTTAAATGTATGCAACCAAAACCCTCTATTTTTAACATAAACTGTTAGATATGGCAATTCGGTTGTTATGCAGGCTGGCTGGTAACTGTGCTGTGAAATCTTTTTTTTGCTTGTGGCCCCCGACATCATCAATGGGACGCACATAAAAGTTTGTGAATATCTAGTCTCAGAGACAGCAGACACACAACAGGATATAGTCAAAGGCTATGGGTATGATACAAGAAACGATAAGACATGATAGAAGAGATGGCCAGAGACTGAGGACGAGTCAAGAGATGGTTAGAGACTGGAGGCATGATACAAGAGATGGTCAGATACTGCTGGCATGATATAAGAGATGGTCAGAGACTGTGGAAATGCTTCAGGAGACTTTCAAAGACTGTGAACGTGATATAGGAGTTGTCAGAGACTGGGCTCATGCTTTAAGAGAGTCAAAGACTGGAGGTACATTACAAAGGACTGCTAGAGATCACTGCTGAAACAAAGCAATAGGGAAGCACAGATTAGTATCAACAGGGGCCCCAAGGGCTGCACAAAAAAATGCCAATGGGCCACATGCAGCCCCTAGGCCACAGGTTGGGCATCAGGGCTTCACAGCTGAACACTATCCATGGAATCCATAGAATAATTGCTCTCACTCATAGTCATAGCAATACCTCACATGTGTAGAGCAACTTGCTTGCATTTGGGTCTGTACAGGGGGGCTTTTACATATTCTTTGTTATGATTTATTTTATTACTTTATTTTATTATTTTTATTTGTTTAACTTTATTGCTATAAAGCAGGTGACAGGTTCTCTTTGTCAGAGGTCTAGAAGACCCCCAAGGTTTCCCCTCCCACCACTGCATCTAATCAAGCACAGATCCTACTTGACTAGCTGCATCCTTGGATACAGTATCTGGGGGATGGCAGTTGTGAACCTGGAAGTGACATAATACACTTCGCTTCGAGGTTCATTAGACACGGGGGAAATGGGGAACGTATCTGGCCATGGCCCTATTTGGTCAGTGATGATACCACCATTCCTGCCTCTTCCCTTATATAGCTGATGACAGGGGAGCTTTGAAGTAATTGTGAGATAGGTCGTGTGCATTGCGTCATAGGGTGTGTAAGTTGGCAGGCAAAGGGGGTGGGCATCAGAATTGACAATATTGACAATGGATTTACAATGAGAGACTTTTTGGGAGGATTTTAATTTTTAATTTTTTATTCTATAAAGGACTTGTCAAATGTTTTCTTTTCTTTTTTTGTGAATGAGTAGGGGGTAGTACGTATCCCATACTCATTCACGTGGGAGGAGGCGGTATCTGGGGGCTGCCTTATTAATAATTCTCAATTCTGATCAGCCCCCCACCTCAGACCCCCACAACCAACAACTAGGGCTATGAGGAGGAGGCCCTTGTCCTCATCAACATTGGGAAGAGGTGCTTTGCCAAGGAGGGCCCACACCTGCCCCTCTAGCACGTCACCCCCCCCCCCCCCCATATTCAGGACATGTGACCTGGTATGGTTCAGGAGGGGGGAGCACAGCCCCTGAAAATCCATACTAGGCTCAATTTTTTTCATTTCGGCTGTAGGATGTGCTACAGCAAAAGTAACATTACCAAAAAAATGATACAGGCTAAATTGCCTACAATTACTAGCTCCATTAAAAATAAAAAAGGGAAAAGCATACAAACCCTTCCAAAGGTTTCCCAAAATAATAACAGGCTATATATAATATAATAAAAAATATAACGCAAAAATGAGAAATGAAAAATAAACAAAACATGATGTGGCCATTGCATGTCATCTATAACTTATACATGGCATCTACACATGACATATCCACATGTATTTGTAGCGCTACCCCCGAAGGAGCTGCTGGACTGTTTGTGTCCTCCAGCCTTGCACCTCTGATGACCTGTCCTGTGCCTGGATCCGAGAAACACAGACATACCTGGAACTGTTGAAATAGGCTTTGTTAACAGGATTAACCCTAAAAGGGAATATGGTTTAGGCAGTAAAGAGTAAAAACCCAGCACACAGTCTTGGGTCAATATCAGACAATAGCACACTCGATAAAAGACTCATGTATTAAGCAATCTATCCACTTATTCCAGTCTTTGACTAGCAACTGGCCATTGGAAAAAATTGAATATAGTCCAGCTTGCGTTGGGGCCCTTAACTGCCAATGGATCGCTCACTCTCAATTGAGGGATTTGCAATTTACAAGGTAATTCTGCATTCTAGTGCTGTCAGGACGCTACCTTGAACAGAGGTGCACACGCACCAATATGTAGATTGGGAAAACTCCACCAGTATCCTGTGTGAGCATGCACCTCTGTGGGGTAACTTGCATAGGTGGGTTGCATGTTGCATGGACGTCTGTGCATACTGCCACACATGCACGCACATTCAATTCCAGAACTGGTTCCCTATTTAACCAATTCAATACCGGGCAATTTTACACCTTCCTGCCCAGGCCAGTTTTGAGGTTTCAGAGCTCTCACACTTTGAATGACAATTGCGCGGTCATACAACATTGTACACAAACTAAAATTTTATCATTTTCTTCACACAACTAGATCTTTCTTTTGGTGGTATTTAATCACCACTGGGGTTTTTATTTGTTGCTAAATTAACAAAAAAAAGACCAAACAGTTTGAAAAAAAAACACGTTTTTCTTTGTTTCTGTTATAAAAGTTTGCAAATAAATAATTGTTCTTCATA